TTTTCTGATAGGAAATCCTTCAAACAGAAAGAGTAATGCTACTTGCAGTCGCTCACTGCAGCTGTCGCCCTATGTGGCACACACATGGCATGTAGTTATTTGATGCATTAATGTGATAGTTTTTTTTTACCACCTTTAATGCATCAAATACACACTTGACATGTGTGTGCTACATAAAGCGACTGTTGTAGTGAACGACTGCAAGTAATATTATTCAAACAGAAACCATAGTTTTACCTCAAAATCCAAATATCTAAAAGATCAATATCAAAAAGAATAAAGAAAAACTAAAACCATTGTCTCCACCCTCTTACCTTCACAACCCCTAAGAGTCTTTGGAAGGAAAAAGCCCCAAGTACAGAAATTTTTTGACGGACTTTTCATTGACGGTGATGTGGCGAAATGTGATTGACTTGTTTTGTTTTTTATTTTTTTCATCTTCCAATGAATGCATGCCAAGTGTTGTCTGTAAATATTTTCTATAATATTTGTCGATGCTTATAGCATGACTGTCTTTGGAAAGGTCAGTAAATTAAGACTGTTGAGAGGAAAGAAAAAATTATATATATGAGAGAGAAAGCAAAGATGAGATAGGATGTGGAAGTTTCCAAGTGTGTAGGCGTAAGAACAGATTGGGGTAATTTGAGAATTTTAGTCATATTAGGTATGCAGTCTACACTTGTATCTTCTTTTCTTTTTTAATGTTACCCATTTTTTCCTTTTTCTTTTTAAATTTATCTCTGCAAATATGTCATTAGAATTTTCAAGAAAACCTGAGAATGAATTTGCTACGGCTCATACTAGCCTTTAAACTTACAAAAGCATATTCTTCCTTCGCCTCTTTCTTGAGATTCCGCACAAGATCATCTTTCAATAGATTTTCCACACAAAATCTTCTGTTATTGATTAATCTGACATATCTGCAGTAGACGTCTCTCAATTAATATGTCAATTTACTTTTCACGTATTTCCCCTAAGCTATTGGAGGCTATGGGGTGGTCACTTAATGCATAAAGCAAATAGGAACCAATGCTTCACTTTTCAAAGTTCCCCCTTCCATGATAATTGAACATAACAGATCACTTAATGATTAGTTAATTACATTAAACACTTGATTAATCACTTAATTTCCGTAATGTACAAACTTACTTTTAGAGAATTTTCCCCACAAAATTTTAATTCAAGTTTTTTCGTGACTAGAATTAAACTCTACATAATCGAGAATCAAGCCAATATATTTCTGTACGAAATCGCGTCTTCCACGAATCTTTTCGCTATCTCCGATTTTTTTTCCCTTAAAAAATTACATCTAATATAAAATCAAAAAATAAAAATAAAAAATGTTAAGTAGAGAATTGATAATTAATGTGTAAAGATGATCTATTAAGATAATTAATATATCAATCTCGTGAATATCTTTTTATTCAATTTGTAAGTTAATTCTTTATTTTTATAATTAAAAAACATTTAATAAAATAATCTTGAGCACTAATTCAATTAATTTTTATCACGATCTTTATAATCTTATCATGTCTCCAAACTCCAAATATTAAACCATAATGATTTCAAATATTCATAAAATCTTTGTCACGAGCATATTTGGCTAATTATAAAAAATTTATTTTCGAGTAATTCATTCTAAGTAAATAAGTAACTTTTTAATATAAGTTACTTATTTTGACAATTACTCGCCTTCCGATCCCGATCACGATCCCGATCCCGATCCGACCTCGAGTCCAATCTGGACCCCCAAAAATTCACCATAACAAGAAAGTGGGAAACCTTACTTAAAAAAATGAAAAACCAAAAAATATGTAATTATTAGTGATATAATCAAAGAACGGAAAGGGGAATCCTATAACCAATTCAACCTTTCCCCCAACTAGAATTCTCTCCCCCTGCGTATGTACAAACCAAGAATCCCAAACCCAAAAAGCACGCGCACACAAATTACATAGAAATTATAGAATTACGATCAAAATACGCTTCAAACGGTAATTGGGTTTTAATTACAATGAAATTGTTGAATTGAAATTAAGTAGGAAATTATACAGGGATTGTTAAATGCATGTGGAGGTGGATCTCAATTGGTTCCTGCAATTCATAGTGACACCATTCTTGGTGGCTTTTGGGTTGCTCCAACTCGTGAGAAACACCGCCTCTAAGTACTTCGTTGTCGACTCCAATTTCGAGTCGGATTACTCGTTCGATCGCAACAAGGAGAAGATGCCGGCCCCTGGCTGTGACGCCTCCGTTCCTTGCGCCGTCTGTGAACAGAGAGGCACGAAACAATGCGCCCGTTGCAAGATGGTCAAGTACTGGTACGCGAACAAGCACATGGTTTATGGATTTTATTTAATTTTTTCTATATGTATTGGGTTTTCATGTTTCTGATTAATACTCACTGTTTTTTTTATGGATTATCCACAAATTTGCTCACGTGTTCATTTAGTGGGCTTTCTTCTTCTATCTATTGTGTTTTTGTAGGAACTAATTAGTTGTGTGATGCTAATTTTTTGTACCCTGGGCTTGAAAAGTCTGTAAATTGTTGAAGTTGCTTTGGGAACGTTAGTTTACATGTAAGGCCATCGCACATGCTGCCACTAGAATATATCCGTGCTTGTGTGTTGAACACACGCACTAGTGGCTGCACATACGTTTTATGTTCGTAGTTTTTATGTAGTTTAAGGCTGTCATTAACCTAGTAATGCAATTATGTTAGTCCGGATAAGGAATAGATTTGAATCGCAATAACAGCTAAACAAGTGTTCCCAAAATGATAAATATTACATTACACACTAGCTTCCATGGCGGTAAACAAATCCCATAAATTTCCATTTAATAACAGAATATTCAGGTACTCAAACGCTCACTAGAGGAAACCTATAACAAAAATTATCTGTTCTTTTATCTCTGTGTTATAACTATTTTTTGTTTGGCCCAAGCATTAGTTGTCTATGTTTGGTATTTGTTTAACCGCAATGTGGAGAATACACACTGCTGATAATAATTGAGATGTTTCAGTTGCAGTCTAGTTGCTGTTCCATCTTTTTGGCGTTTAAGCAAGTAATTGTAATGTCTCATTTCACATTCAAATAAACTTCCGTTCAAGTAAAACATTGTATGGTGCATGATTAGTTTTCTCACTTGTTTATTTTATTTTTACTCGAAAAAAATGCTGAAAAATATTCCAACACAGTGAATTTATTCAAGTAAATATGGTGCATGTGCTGACATTCAACTCTAATGGTTGGTTGTGTGAACGTACCTCTATGCTTGTAGTCAACTGTCTTGTCTGGTGTGTACGAGCTGGAGTGCGGTTTTTAAGAGCCACAAGGTTTAGGCTAACTCAATGCTTTAATGTATATAATGGGTGGCCTTCTTGTGTAAATAGGCTGCTAACCTTCTCTGGGTTTAGAAATTGAGTTATTTGATCCCTTTCATTTTTCAACAAAGAAGGTTGAGGAGAATTAAAATCAGCGTAATGGATTTCTGACCTCCAAAATTATATTCTTTATAGCTTAAGACAGACTACATGAAGATATCTATTTTTTACATCATTCTTTATGACACACAGTCTATCTTGGTATCTACTTTCCTAATTGGATTACCCCTTAATATTTTTGTTATAAGAAATACCCTTGTTCTTTCTACAACATCTGCTATTGCTACTTAGCTCGTGTAATTGATTTCTTTGTCTGATCACTCATTTTCTTCCAAATGCTATTTCTTTGAATTACTTTAGGTTCACCAGAAAAGAACATAAACGTTCTTTCAATATTATGAAGCTTATTGTTTTAACTTTGCCTTTGAAATTCTAGCTCTGAAGCTTGTCAAAAATCTCACTGGTCTGAGCACAAGAAGAAATGCAACAATTTACAATTGTCTCGTAAAGCTAATTCTATGCAATCTACATCGATCTTGAGGGGAAGGAAGGTTTCATTGGTTCCTGGCGTTGGGAGCTCCAAGATTTTCAAGGACTCGAAAGAAGTAATTAACTCTCCATTTTTATATGCTCTCTGTATGTAAATAATACTGAGGAGACTTCAAATTCTTCTGCATTTATGTTATCAGATACTTTTCCCTTATGAGGAGTTTATGGAACTTTATAATTGGGACAAGCCTGGTTTTCCTCCTTGCGGACTCTTAAATTGTGGAAACAGGTATAGTTTAGTGAATTTACATGTACCTTTGAACTGTTTCTAGCTTGTAAATTGTTTTATTTGAAATCCCAAATATTTTTATATTCTGCCCCCTCTGCAGCTGCTTTGCTAATGTGGTTCTCCAATGTCTTGCTTTTACCCGGCCACTTGTTGCCTACTTGTTGGAGAAAGGCCATCGGAAAGAATGTAATTACACTGACCTGAAAAACTTATCTTTTACTCTTTTATTAAATAATATGACTCATCATTTGTCTTTTCGAATTTGTTGTCGAATACTCCTCATTTTCTCCATTCATTTGCACATGTTCCTCAGGTCAACATGAGGATTGGTGCTTTCTATGTGAATTTCAAACTCATGTTGAAAGGGCTAGCCGGAGTCTGCAGCCATTTTCTCCAATTAACATTCTATCACGATTGCCTAATATTGGTGGTAACCTTGGCTATGGGAAACAGGAGGACGCCCATGAGTTCATGAGGTTCTTATTATTTGAGTCACATCTGATTTCAGTTTACATACTAGTCTCACTTTTCAGAGTTTTAAGAAAGCGTTTTGAACCTGCCTTTTCTTTTTTTTTTTTTGAACTTTGGTATATAACTAACTCAGTTTGGTAAATTCAATTTTTCGTAGGTTTGCCATTGACACAATGCAGTCGGTGTGCCTTGATGAATTTGGTGGAGAAAAGGCAGTTCATCCTAGATCCCAAGAAACCACCCTTATTCAGCATATATTTGGTGGTCATCTTCAATCTCAGGTCAAATTATTTTTGCTAGAGTTTTTCTCTACTTTTGTTTCATCTCCCTCCCTCTCTCTCTCTCTCTCTCTCTCTCTCTCTCTCTCTCTTTTATTTAAATAGAAGAGTATAATTGTCATTTCACATCTTTTAATTAAAANCTCTCTCTCTCTCTCTCTCTCTCTCTCTCTCTCTCTCTCTCTCTCTCTCTCTCTCTCATGTTTTCCTTTATTATTTGCCTTCCCAGGTTATCTGCGCAAACTGCAACAATGTTTCGAACCAGTTTGAGAACATGATGGATTTAACTGTCGAAATTCATGGTGATGCTGCATCTTTGGAGGAATGTTTGGACCAGTTCACTGCCAAAGAGTGGCTTCATGGGGATAATATGTATAAATGTGATGGGTAAACATTCTTTCCTATAGCAAGGATTTACCTTAATTTTACATTCGTACTTCAGAATAGTGAATTTCCAGCCCCATCCTACCTATAATCTATATACATGATTGTTCTCATTTGTGTCTTCTTTTGTTGACCTGGTACTTCCACTAGTTATACAGGCATGGAAGAATCTGAATATTTCACTAACTGTATAAAAGACGCAATGAACCAGCTAAATCTGCCACTGTCACACGGGTCTTCCCTTTTGCCAAGTACCAGTGACTAGGTTCTGTTGGATAGTACGACAAGCATATTGTTGCATAACTTCTTTTCTTCCTAACTTTAGTTGCTTTGTAGATTGATACAATTCTTTTTCCTTTACAGATAATTTTTGTATCATGAAGGGGTGCTTTGTGCCAAATTTCTTTTAACAGAATATACCACTTGCTTTGACATAATTTATTATAGGCAGTGTATACTTTACTGCTACATTCTGTGCTTCTCCTGTCCCTTCATAAGTGATATTTACCCTGGAATGCATTTTGCCTGCAGATGCAATGATTATGTCATGGCATGGAAGCGCCTTGCAGTGCGGAGGGCACCCAACATACTTACGGTTGCCTTGAAAAGGTTTCAGGTTAGTTCTTCATTCCTTTCACCTTTTTTTTGCAGCTAATTAAAATATGTAGATCTGACTTCACAAAATAAAAATGTAGAACAAGCAGAAGGAAACATTGACTATGCTAGAAATCGGTATCTGAGTTTGAGATTTGAAGCTTATCAATCTTTGGCTGAACATACACTTAGTAACTATCATTGACAAATGCACTTAATTTTGCCCCTTTTTTCTTTGGTAATTAATATTAAACGTCATCTTCAAAGGTATGTGCATCTAGTCAGGCTGTTAGTTTAAACAGATATTTTGCTAATTACTATAACTTGAAACGATTTACAAATTTCTGATTGGTGTTCGCTGCTTGAAGTAATTCCTTCTGCTTCCATAATGGAAGACTTGGTTTTTTATTTGATTATAAATGAACTGAAAACTTCAGTAAGGGGAAATTCACTTCACAGATTATTTAGTTTCTGATGTATGTATCTTTTTGTCGTGCAGAGTGGGAGGTTTGGTAAACTTAATAAGAGGGTGACATTCCCAGAGACTTTAAATCTGAGCCCTTACATGAGTGAATCAGAAGATGGCAATGATGTTTACAAGCTATATGCAGTTATTGTCCATGTGGACATGTTAAATGCATCATATTTTGGCCATTATATATGCTATGTCAAAGATTTTCGTGGAAACTGGTACAGGATTGACGATTGCAAGGTAAAAATCTCTATATGTGAATGTATTTACATGTATCCTCGTGTGTCTGCGACTCTGCAAAGTGCAAACACACGTGCACCAGCATTTTGGATTAAACATTGGTCTTCATAGCCTATACATTTTTGTCTCATGTATGTCCTTGTGACCTTTTTCTCAGTGTACCTCATATGTGATTGTTATGATTTGTGCAAACGAGTTGTCTGATATAGGAGTCTGAGTCCGTATTTAACACTCTCCCGTCCTGTATTGAAGGCCCACATTTTAGTTTTTTGGATGTTAGGGAGTAATGTCTTGTTCATGATTGGACATCTGTTTTCCTAAAGAATAACCTCTAAAGGTGATGTAGGTGTACGCGATGTCTAAGCAACTGAGTATATTTTTCATTTTGTGGTACTTTGAAGATTCTTAAATGAAGCACTAGTTTTCTTGAATATTAAGTGACAAGTGATCTGGTTTGTTTCGGTTGATAATAATATTTTTACAGTAACACTGGAGGAAGTCATTTTGAAGTAAGTTGCGAGTCATTAAAAATATTGGGTTGCTTCCTGTTCAATTTTAGTTGTTCAATTCGGTTGTTGCCTCATTAAGATCAAAGTATTGGGAGGTTTAGGGAGTTGAGCCATAATTCCAATGAACAATGAAAAAGACGAAGTAATTGTTTGAATGCAAGTTTTGAAAGTTCCAGAACTCACATATAGTGTGATGGCCTGATTATGGGGTACCTTTTACACATTTCCGATGTTCACACTCCATAGGAAACTTCAAACAAAATTTAGCCTAAAGGAATGTCACAAATACTGTTCTTACATGCTGAGGCATCTGACTGCAATTTTTTTCTCATAAGCACTGATGGGACATGTTCTAATTGAACAGTCAAAAATGTATACCTGTTTCTGGTTAAAGATCTACTTCGAATGGGAGAAGCAATTGTTGGAAAATGCCACCCTCATTTTTGAAAGATAGAATAGCATGACATGATAGCATGGCACAGTCATCACTTCATATTCCTTATTTTTCCTCTCAGGTTTCTAGGGTTGACTTGGATGAGGTGCTTTCACAGGGAGCTTATATGCTCTTATATAACAGGTATCTCTCATTCTAGTGCTTGTCTTCTGAGCAATCCCAAATATCCACATTTCAAAATTATGATAAACTTCTCTAAGACCCCAACCGTGTATGTGCAGAATAACCTAAAACAAATAAACAAAAGTACAAAATGTATCAGAATTACTAATTTTACAGAGAATAGGACATTTGTTGTCCAACATCTGTATAAAGTACCTCGCCCACCCCCCACAAGTAAACACACATGCACACATAAAATGATATTTAGCATGGTTGGCTAAGCTATAAGGTGCTTATAACATGCTCAATTGTATGACTTTTGAGATAAGTTTACTTAGTGCAATATATAATTTGGGCTTGTGGTCAGATGACTAAATTAAATATCTTGGAGGAGGTCTTAATTAGAACATTTGTGAGAGACTCTTTAAAAGTAAAATGCTCTATTTGAAAGATTGAATCCTTAAAATTAAGCTCAGACAAATTCCTTTAAAATAAAGAGTGGATTTGACTCTCGACATTTGGAGCTATGTATATATTTTTAAAAATGATTGCATTTTATAAGCTGCATGTTTCAATGCTCCATTTCTTGGATTATTCAAATCATATTTGAATATTTTGGCCTTTTGTCATTTAAAACAAAATTATTAATTAAAAAATGAGGAAAAAACAATTAATGGTTATTGGAAAAAGTAAGATTAAGAATTAAATTAAAATGAGTTCATTCGAATGTGTAAAAAAAAATTCGCTCTTTAAATTAAAAGGTGTTCTTTATTATGTAAAATATGCTCTTTAAAAATAAAGAGGCTCTTGAACATGCTCTTAGTTGGCTAGGCTATAGAATAAAAGCTAACTACTATGGAGATTGTTGAGTATTATCATTCTTTGTACTTATATGACTAGATCAAGCATTTGGTTTTCTGTAAGAGAGCAATTTGTGTCCATGGTTACATGAGTAATGGAGGGAAATTGATGAGAGTAAAGCAAGGAGGCAGTCCCACTGGAGCATCGTATTTTAATCACACTTGTTAAAAGAACAACAAATCTTGTAGTTCCAAAGAGAGCTACCTCAAGAATGAGCCTTGGGGGAGAGTGGCTTCTCAAATGGTTGTAGTGTTATTCTCATTGTAGATAAGATAACAAGCTGGCATTGCAACTTCTACTGTGAAATTAAGCAAATATAAATATTAGCTTGAGTTTCTGGTCCAACCAATGGTTTTCCCTGAATATGCATACAGAACGAATAGAAGGCGTAATGAGTGCACCGTATGCATCACTAACAAGAATGGAGATGATGAAAGTAGTCAGTGTTGAGAAAAAGCACTTCGTGACATTGCCACGAGTGATGAATGTCAAAGGAGACTAGGGAGTTTGGAAAAACTAACAGATTCTCCACACAAGACCCGTGGCACGATCAATAAATGTACATTAGGAAGAGAACTTTCATAAAGAACAACTAAAGAAAAAAAAGTATCGCTGCTCTTAATTTCAATAAGAGCAGAGATTTAGCAAGTCCTAACTTATCAAAGTTGTGAAATAATAACCTGAACACGTTGTTAGATATATAGAGATTGGATTGGACGGCCCTTGATCTTTTATTTTCTTGAATCCCCATTTGATATTTGTTGGTCAAATCTTATTTAATAGCTGACTAGTGGTCATGTGTTTAATAGCTAACTTAAGTGGTATATAATAGTCATTTTTGGCGTTGCTGTTTACAGGATCCATGCTCGCCCGTCTTGCTTGCTTCCTGCTGAATCTGTAAGGAAAGAGGAAATGGAAAACATGAAAATGGAAGTACATCTATCCCCAAATCTGCCTGATAACTCTCCGGTAGGATGCCTCGATAGTCCTGTTGATTCTGGTCTATTGGCATCTGTTAATTGTTCAGGACCAAAGATCTCAAATGGTGAGGAAGACTTGTCATTCTCAACTGATTCTGTTGATGCTAGCGGGGATATAGAAATGGTAGATTCTGAAGCAAGTCCTTCAATTTTCAAGGATGTTGAACGTTTACACAGTAATGGGTGCTTTGTTGCACCTGAAGAAGTTGATTCTGTAGCTGAACAAGCTCATGAACCTGCCACTGGAAATATTTCAGTGATTTGTACTAGTTCTCAATCTGAAGTTTATGACATTGAACCATCCGCCCCCATGTCTGACGTTGAGAATGAAAGTGGGGGCAGCAAAGACGTGAATGAAGGTTTATTGGAAATTTCCGGTGAAGATTATTCCAATACTCAGAACCATATCTCCGAGAAAGACGATACAGCACATGATGTATCAGCAATGGCATTTACCAGTGATAAAGCCCACGATGAATTGAAGTTTACTCATTTATCTATGCCCCAGATTGTCAAGTCTGAAAATAACATATCTTCCCCTCGTGGTATTCAAGATGTGGCAAGGAAATCTAATGGATTAAGTTCTTCTGGAGCAAAGTTGAAGCCACTTCTTGCTCCTGGTTTTCTTGGCAAATGCCCACGAGATAAACGTGTCAAGAAAGAAAGTATCATTGAAGTAGCATCAAATGGCCGTCTGAATAGTCAAACAAATGAGATTATCAAATCCCATTTAACATGTCAAAATGGCTATTTGTTTCCAGATGAGGAGAAACATTATTCTGGCAGAAGCTGTTCATCTGATAATTTGGATGGGCAAGCAGGGATGTTCAACAATGACACTGAAATGGCCTCTGTTGAACCTGATATGTCTATAAGCTTAGAAAACCGAGTTTCTAGCGATCCAATAGCATTTTGTAATGGAACCAAAATTGGCAAAACCAGTGAAGGGCTAAGGGTAGGTGGACAAAATCTGATTCATCGTGGCAAATCCCATGGATAAATGGAGGTAGAAACTTTAATTGAATTGGCAGGCTCATTAGGTTGACAAAGCGTATGAATTCCCACTTGTATGTATGCCTCTTAGAAAGTCTTGATTAGAATCTTCGGACAAAGGTTTGAATCTTCACAAGTGGCTATCTGCAGGAAATTTTGTTACCATAGTTCCATATAAGTTGGAGATTACTTGCTTATGTGCTACTGGTGGCTGAACAGCTTAATTGTGCTTACACATTGTTTGGCTGAATCAGATAATTATCAAGTGTCAACCATGTAAGTACTATTTCCGTGGATGATATTTCATAATCAATTCTGGTGGAGCATTCTTGTCCTGTTTATATTATTTGATGATTTCATCACCCAAACTGGATGTGATGGGATTTTTGTCCATGGTTTTGATGCATACAGAAATCTTGGATGCTCTTTGTACCTGTTTAACTCGGACTTCTTCAAATGAAATGGAATAACCTAATTATTTAGTTTTGGAACTTCCATTATTATTTGTAGAGCCCCGGATTGAAATATTGCTTACGGTTATATTTTAACATCACGATTGCATTATATTTCACTACATTTATTGCTTGTTTGCTAAGGTACACAGGAAAAAAAGGGTTCAAATTATGTCCATTCTATTGTTGGGTTATGTTCAATGTTTGTTTTAGGTGTCAACTTTTTCTAGGACATGCACTTTGGGTAGCACAACATTAGAATTTGTGCATTTGTGGTCCTGTTGGAAGGTAAGCGATAAGTGATTTTTGCCATTCAAAATCTCATCAAACTTACAACGGACTAACCAGTTTTTTTGAACCTCTTTGCTATAAGTAGTACATACACATATTCCAGTGAGCTTGCGGGATTCGCGTGTCAATTAGAGGGTCATGTGTCTTGGTCCGATTGTATTCCTCTCTTCTTATCGTCAATTATTCATGGTGATGTTTGCTAATAAAATTTCTATTTGGCTTTTTTTTTTCCTTCTTTTGAAATATACATTTGCTCCTGCCAAGTACAAATAAAATCTGGACCATGGTACACTGCCAGTGCCAGGGCCACAAGCCGGTCCCCTGGCACTGTTTGTGCCCATGTGGCCCTGGCAGAATGGATAAACCCATAAAATCTTGTTAGTTGTGAAAATGGTGGCCTCCAATTGTTACTTCATTTGTCGTCTAGTCAAATTCTAGACTGCAGAATGGAAAAACCCATAAAATCTTACTAGTTGTGAAAATGGTGGCCTCCAATTGTTACTTCATTTGTTGTCTAGTCAAATTCTAGACTTTTTCCGTAGTCATAATTCATACAGTTCTTGAACCCTCTAATGTGATCGATGAAGAACTTAAAATCACATTTAAAAAAATATAGTCATGTTACTTGTACGTCGAGGTTGACACTTCGATGTACAGTTCCCTTCACAAGAGGGCACGATTTCCACTATTTTTATTGGTTGTGGACCCCCCTCTTGTGAGATGGTTGTACACCGAGATGTTGACTCCAGTGTACAAATAGTATTTCTCAAAATACATATTTTTAATATTGCGTATGGCAATTTTAGGCATGGACGGGCACTTTGTTTCCATATAGTTCCCGGTCAAGCTAGCTCGAAAAATAATGATTATGAAGCTTGCACGGATTTTGGTACGTTAAAAATGTTATTTAGCGCAATTTGCGTTCAATGCAGTCTATGTGACAGCACTTATGACGTTTGTTTGACAAAGCTTTTTAATAGCTTTTGGTAAAAATTGATGAAATGTGTGGTTGAAAAGTTGATAAAAATTGTGGATAACATGAAATGCGTGGTTAAAAATTAAAGAAAAATAACTTTTTGGTGAATTTGACGGTGTTTGAAGCACCGTCAATTATTTTCAACGTCACCAATGATATTATCGTTAGTATCCACCAACGAATGTATCGGTGATCATCAACGATATTGTTATTAGTAATTCTATCTAAATCACCTACATATATTAATTTCAATCAAAATGATCAACAATCATACTGTCAGTTATCACAATGACTTCTCGTCAATAATTCACGATAACTTTACTCACTATATTGTTATCGATAATCGTTGATGAATGCATATTGATAATACCAATATTATGGATGCATGTAATTATGTCAAAGTAACAAATTAATATGAATTCCAATAAAATTGTCAAGTATGGTTAAATCACCAATGAAATTTTCGAGAGTACTATTTGCCCCACCAAATCATTATTATTGTTTTCCTCATTGCTTAAGCTACCTTTGATAATATTAAAATTTATTTTATTTTGAACTTTTGTTTGTTGTTAAATTTTGACTATCTTTGAACCATACTTTCTTGTTCGCTACAAAAGCCTGCTTAGACCACGCCGGGTACAGTGTACACAATGTCTAATCTATTTGACTAACAAAAGTTTACTTCTAAGACATGGACCCTACAAGATGGGTTGACTCACTTCTTTTGCATATAAAACGTGGAACTCATCAAGTACAGTGTAGGACCCACGTCTTAGAATTGTCCAAAAAAATCTATAATTTTCTTAAAAGTAAGTTTGAATTCAATTTAAGCTGTAAGTATGATTGAAAATAAGTTTTCATTGTCTTGCGTAGCAAACATGCCCTTAACGAATAATCCAGAACTCTCTCGAGAACCGCATTAAATAAAAAATAAGTACTTTAAAATAAAGTAAACAAATCGTAGCCCTATTTGAAGCACCACGTCATAATCAAATAGATTCAGTTCAGTTTAGTCCATCATGTTTACTCTCCAAAACCTGCAATGCTCAAAAAATTAATGGCGGTCTAGAGGAAGAGAAAATCCGAAAAGAAGCAATTTTTAACGGTGATTTTCTCTTGAAATTCCGTAGTAGTTCTTTTCCATTGAAGAATGTAGTAGAAGTATCAGATTTTCTGAGTTATTGGTTTTTGTGGTAATTTGTTTGGTTGAGTTTGAGATTTGATCTAAAACATATAGGTTTGGTGATTATTTACTCGTTTCTTACTTGTTAATGTGATGTAAAAAGATTGTTTATTGTGTTGTTAACTTTGAGGTGATCATTACTGTTGTTATTCCTTAAAATCCTACTTCGAAAGAAATGATTTTTTTTTATTATTATTTTTTTTTTCCTTGAAGATTTTGTGCATTTATTGATCTTCATATAGTTATCAGTGCTTTTTTTCATTTTTATTTATTTATTTATTACCTTTAACCTGTAGCAGTCCACTTGGTAGTTATTGTGCATGTACGTGTGGTGATTTGGAAGGGGGTGGGGTGCCCGCAGCTAGTTGGCTGTAGTAGAAGGTTAAATTCCAATTAAATTTAGATTAGTTTAGTTAGAATTTTAAGCATAAACCAATAGTTTCCATTCCAATTCCATCATGACGAAATTGTTCAAGTGACAGTTCGTATCAGGAAAGCACTTTCTGTTAGTCATTTGGATTTCCATGATCAAATAGTGACACCATTAAGTATTTGGCATGAAATTCTTTGAACTTCCATTTTTAAATACTCCAATAATAATCGGTCTATCTTTATGTTTAAACTTTAATTAATGGGTTTCTATGTTTTCTCCTGTTGTACTGGGTGGGGTTTATGTCTTTTTTATAAATTTTAAACTGTAATTTGAGATAATACATGCAGATATATGTGTATTACGTTTGCGTCAAGAGGAAGTTGGAAGTCATCTCAATATTATATTACCACAAGACGGTTGAGACTTGAAATAGGTGATGAATCAAGCTTCCATCATCCCAAAATCATGGAGATCTGTTGGGCAAGTAATTAAGGATCTATTTATGTTAATAGTTGAGGCCCTCCATGAGCCGTTACACGCTATTTTCATTGTTGTAGACAAATTTCAGATATTCCAAAAGATTCTTCGCAACTTTCCGTTTCAAGTTACGTGTCCATTTATTTCCATTACCTGGCTTGAGAGGCTTGACAAACCAAATTCATATGGAGACCCGTTGGACTCATAATTTAGGGATGATTTAATTTACGTTAATGGGTATGCCTCCATCAATGTTAATAGTAGGTTCCCGCCGTCATTGTTATTAGCCGTTGCCTGCATTAATAGCTGCTTGCTTCAGGGTATTTATATGTTATAGTATCTCTATTTGTGAAAATCAATTCCAATCAATCTTGATGATAGATTAATTTCATGACCTGAGAGGCACAGTCTTACTTCAGCATATGATTCAGCTGGATTCTCACTTTTTATTCTTCCCTCAGGCGATGACAGATTGGTCTAAGTTACCTGCTGATGTTTTGGGGCTTATTGCAAGACAGCTGCATTTTGTGGAAGATCGTCTGAGATTTGGCTTGGTCTGCAAGTCATGGAGAATGGTTATGCTTCATACAGATAGATTTTCATGCTCTCTGCTTCCTTGGTTGATGCTGACAGAGAAGGAAGAAAGTGATACGCGTCGAGTTTACAGTCCTTTCAACAAGAAGGTTTATGAGCTTTCTTTGCCAGAAATCAATGGTAGGCGATGTTGGGGTTCACCTCATGGTTGGTTGGTTACTCTGGATGTTGCATTTAATATGAATTTATTGAATCCCCTGTCGCGTGTCCAAATTTTTCTCCCACCACTACATAAATGCTCAAATCTGGAAAATCTTGTTTGTTGTCCTGAAACATTTCGCAATACATTTGTGTACAAAGCTGTTCTGTCTTCAGATCCATCTTCAGCGAACTGTGTAGTTTTGGCAATCTATTCTGACAATAAGATGGCTTTTGCAAAGCCAGGTGATGTAGCCTGGACCCCATTACAATCTGGTTCTTCATTTGTCAACGATGTCATTTGTTTTGGTGGGAACTTCTATGCTATTGATTCGTCTGGAGACATTAGGATCAGTGATTCAAAAGGCTCTCATTTAAAGACCATATCTTTACCAGTGCAAGAGGTGGATAATGAGCTTGGTGAAAACTCTATATATCTTGTGGAGGTAGGAGGGCATATACATGTGGTCCAAAGAATTATGTATGACACTAAGATTTATGATCTCCCAGTTCTCAGAACATGGAATTTTGTAATATTCCGGGTGGATGTCTGTAATGGGAAGTGGGAGGAAGTGAAGTCATTGGGTGACTGGTCTATCTTTATTGGAAGCAATCATTCTTTCTCCATTTCAGCTTCTGATTACCCGGAGTGCCTTAGGAATTGCATATATTTCACTGATGACTATTCTGGACTGTATTACAATACCACAACTTACTTGACGTATGACATAGGTACCTATGACTTAGATGGCCCCAAGATACGAACTTTTCTTCAAGAGGATGTTTCTCGTTTCAAGTTTTCTCTACCAGTTTGGATCAAGCCCAGTGTGAGGTAAGTTTCAACCCTTATAATTCTCTTTATCTATTCCTTCTTTAATTATTTGCATTTGTGCGATGCATTATGTTAGTTCATAAGATTCCTTTAAGGCTTTGGGACTATCATGGGCTTGAAAGTGGATACGAGGTTGTTTAAGTTGGTGGAACTTATGAATTGGCACAGTTATTCTTTCATTCCTTTTTCAAGCAGCCTCCTCCTTGGCAAAGCAAACAAGATCCTTCTCCATCCCATATGGTTACTTTGGCTCCATAGCTCAATATCTTGTGCATGTAGCGCATATTTTTTTGAACTTGTTTTTTGTTGGTTTTTTGTGCTCATAGTTTTTAATGTAACCACATGGTTCTATAACAAAATCTAGTGGTGTCATCATTCATGGCAAGGCTTTAGAGATTGGGATGGTCAGTGTTTTTCCTAATGTAAAATATAATCTGCGCCTCAGAACAACTGCAACATACTCGGGGATTTTGAATTAAAAGAGAGACAGTATTTATTTCTTTGTTCGAGATAACACAACCTTTTAGAAGCCTAAAACTAAAACCATTGGAAACCATGTCTGTTAAGATATTCTATGGTCCAATTTGAAATATCCAGGGTAATCTTCATGCATTGGCAATACCTATATGCAAAGTTCTGTTATTTTCCGTGAATCATGGAGAATCCTCCTAGGTTGGAGTGAACACGTGTTCGATGTGACACATGGCGTATTCCCTATATTTTTGTATTTCTGGAAAGCAAGCTTTAATTCCTTAACGCGCCACGGGCACGTGTGCAACACTCCCAGTCTCATGTCTCTTATCTGTTCTTTGTAGGTTCTCTTCGAAAATGCCGCCCCAGTTGTGGTTCACTTTAGGGTCAGTATGTCTCACAGATTATGATAGGGTCTAAAATACCCTGGTCAATTTTCTAGGTCAGCAAATTGTGCTCAGGAACCAACCTAGTCTAATGTCACTTTTTATTGATTTAGTGCAATTAATAGATTTTGAAAGATTACACGTGTTTTATCTCATTGATACTGCTTGAATTTCTTGTGTCTTCTGCTTTTTCTTTATCCTGTCTCTCCCCTCTATATCTCTGCGACCAGATCTGAAGCTTTTTTTCTCATTTCAAATGGCTATCCTTGTGAACAATGTTCATCATGGAGCTTAAAAGCTTGGCTTTCAGAACCAACAGCATTCGTCTCAAGATGTTACTAACCCTTCGTAAATTTATCCTGTCAGTTCGACTCCCTTACAAAACCTACAACAAACACAGAAACCTATTGGTGCTGCATCAGAAAGCCTCGCTGGTGCAAATAAGCTATCAATGTAACAAATGTAGGGTGCTGCTCAGGTACTGCTCTTTCTGAGTGAAATTCTGATTGAGATTTGAGATTTCTGGAGGAAATATGTTCTATTTTATTTTATTGCCTTCCTTGCAGTGAGACAGAATATTGAACAAAATAATGAAGAAAACTCTATTAATTTTGTTAATTGAAGCTCTAGACATGATATAAGTTTGCATTGACGTTGATTGACAATTCAATTTAATCTTATGGTCTTCTTTTAATAGGTTTGATTACTTTTTACAGCACTTATAGTACCAATATTTATTGCTACGTATTGTATACTTTTGGGTGTAAGTAAACATGTACGTCTGGCAGAATGTTTTGTAGGAATTATAAATTCATTTGAACATTTGTTTATATATCTTCCCCAAGTCTCTGGATGGCCTTTTTAAACTGCAGCCATCAAACAAGTCTTGTTAACGATCTGAAAATAGAGGTTCATCAGTTATAGGACCTAGGAAATGATTTTCCAAGAGATTGTTGTGGAGGGCAGATATTCTTAATTGTGGTCTTTTAGTGTACGCTGCTGAATGCAGGACCTGAAAGTTATTGTGCGACTAACTTATGGTGACTGATATATATAAAATCCTTCACCTTTTTATGCAAAGTAGGTTGAGAGTCAGGCCATAGCTCTACCCGAGTTCAAGGCATGAAAGTAATCTATGATCTGTCTTCCTTGAAGGGTTAATAGACAGAATCTTGCATGGTGTCATTTCTAGGTAGGTGTAAATGTGGTGGTGTATTTGTTTGCTTTATATGGCATGAAAGCTTTGAATGATCTGCGAGGACTATTAGCATAATAGAAATAATATGGTTACAGTGTTCATTAATGTGCGATTTAACAATTTGGAACCTTTGTTATCTAGACGACTGACAGACTTACATTTCAAATGGAGTCTGGAGTTGAAACAAGAATGGAGCAGCAGCAGGTGGATACATGTTGAACGAGTTTTTGATGTGATGAAATGAACAACTTTTGATGCGCACGAAGATATCGTACCTTGTAAATGGTCTTCTTTTTGTTGTCTGATAAGACGAGAGGAATAGGTGCTAAAGATGTAACTATGTTGTTTTTGATATGTAGTCGAATAGATCGACTCTGGATCAGAAAGGTTGACTATGGGTTTGCATGTGATACAGCTTTCCTTTTGTAATCCAAGACAGTAAAAACTTTTGTGGAAAAGCTAATGTTAAACGTGTTTATCTTTGCATGATTGGATTCAAATAGAGAATCATAGTAAAGGGTAATAAGCAAGTCAAAATGGGATACAATTGGAAAGAAACAAATATAACTCTTATGTTAAATATTATACTGTTGAGTTTTATTTGTTGTGTGACTTGGTTTACATGAAGATAGGGATTCGATTTGCTATCGTGAAAGTTCATTTTAAAAAACCTTGACAACCTACAACAATGTACTTCATTCATTTCACAAAGATAAATTTGCTTAATAATATAATTTGAACTATAAATTTTATTTACCTTTTT